AAAAAATTAGAGAAAACTTATTGAAATATTCATTCAGTAATCGAGTACTTATAGAACGGGTGTTAAGAACGGAAATGAATAAAGATAAAGATAAAGTGCAGAAAAAATAGAGGTTATGACTCCCAAATGGAGCAAATTAAAAAAAGATGATGGCACATGTTCGAACTACTTGAGATTTTCGTTGCACTCTCACGTTTTTATTCAGTTTTATATGTTCACTTTTTTTGTCATTAAAATGTTAATAAGATTTACATTATATTTAACTCCTAAAAGCGTAATACATACATAACAACTGTGAAGTTGTTAGTGTAGAGAAAAAAGAGATCGAAATCTTTTTTGGTACACAATAAGTATTATGAACTGATTTTCTAATACCTTACCGTTTACTTAAGAAATATCGTTGGTTTCGGTTATAAGCAGAAAATATGATGAAATGAAATGTGACCGACCCTCAACGATACGTTCAAGGCAAATGTCCTAATGGTTTTATGCTTATATTGCATTCGTCCCATCTTCTGATGAGATCTTTACGACGTTAAATACAATGCCAGACCCATAATAATCATAAATGGCTTAGTGGTACTGAAGAACTTATGACCAAAGCTTACTGAATTTCTTCACGCTCACAAAATAATGAAAAAGAATACTACATATTTAATTTGATCAACAAACTTATCGTTTTTGAAAAGAAAATGTATTATGGATTTACCATTCAATGACGTTTACGGAGTTAATGTTTGTTATAAGTATGAAACCCCGGCAGACAAAGTGAGGATATAATAGTATATTGTGTGACTAGGGATGAAACAAAACGATTTCAGACCGAGTGAAGGCGAGGGCTGGCATCACTCGGTCTGAAATCGTGTTTCATCCCGCGTCACACATTATATTTTTCATATAAGTTGTATTAAAAATGCTAGTTTCAATGTCTGGAGCCAACTAGAACTAGATAGTTTCAGACGAATAGCGAAAATACCATTTTATTATAAAATTTATAATAAAATAGAAGGTAATAGTTTATTTTTTATCAAACATTATTCGTAAATTGAATAGTTTTATTTTGTCATTCTTATTTATGCTTAATAACAGAATTATAATATGTCAATACAGTTAACGGTTAGAATGACAATTCTAAAGGTATAAAATAAACAAACAATTGATAGGATTGAAAATAAAGCTGCAACTTCATCTCGCGGGCAGGAATTCGTCATTTTCTGTCCGCCGGGAAGTAATAATTGATTCCTGCCCGGCCCAGTCGCATTGGTCTGAAATTGTCTAGTTTCAGTTGGCTTAACAGGCATTGAAACTCGCATTTTCAATGCAGGTTATATGAAAAGTATTTTTTCTGTTGGGATATAATAGTGTATTATCAATCGAGCTTGACAATATGCTCAAATGTCTTTTTTTTTTGTTTTAATTGATTGGCGTAAGTTGACATTATCTTAGTCTTTATTATTCAATCTCTAATTGGTTGTGTAAGTTAATAGCGGGGTTTTCATACGTCAAGCAACGAATGATCAAAGTAAACAAATAAAAGTATGCATCTCGCTAATGATTTTTTAATATTATAGAATTAAAATTTTTATATACTGGAAAAAAAAGTATAATGCAAACTTTATACAGCGAAACTGAAGGGACCGTAAATTTTTTACTACTAAATAAAGAGTTTTCATTATAAGGAAGAGTAGAAAAAAATAATATACTATCATTCAGTAATCAATTATTTTAATTTCGAAATAACTTTGATTTAAAAATTTCTTATCTTAAAACTCGTTTTTTCAGTTTAAGAAAATCTGCATCCTTGATCAAGAGAAGGAGACTACCCTAAAGCAAGTACTCCGCCTAAGGCGGGTATGTGTTCAAATACTGTCTAATGAAACGCGAATATCAATATAAGTGAATGCCAAGACTTTTAAGGCGCTCCTGAGTTTTCATGACTTCTGATCGGACTTCTAAGTAACGATATGATGTTATTCGGTGAAATACAAAAAAAATGAAAAAATCTGTTAAAATTGCATGAAGAATCTTTATATATTATTCGATTAGTCGAAAACTTGCATGTCTATAGCATGTTATTAATAATATCATATTATTTTTGTACTATTTAACCGGCAGTAACACATCTTTACTCCAAATTACTCAATTCGGCGACATACTGTACTCAACATAAAAAATTGAATAACTTTAAAAAAAAAAACTTTATTCAATTCATTCACTACTCAATGCTAACTTTACTCAACGCTAAGTTTACTCAATTCCAACTGTATTTCATGAAATCTTTATTCAATGGTATTTTATAAGTGATGGCGCGCTTTTAAATATCTCTATTCAATTTTTTTTGTTTAATAATATATTTATTTTAAATAAGTTAAAAAAAAATTTTAATTAATAATTTTATTCTTAAAAAAAAATTCTATTGTTTTACTAACTTTATTCAATGTCAACTTTACTCAATTACATATAATTTATAGAGTAAAATTTTTTTTTCTATTTATTAAATTATTTTATTGGAGTATAGATTGCACAGAGCTGAGAAATTTTGAGTACAGTTTTGTTTTTGCCGAATAAAATATTATTAAATAAAAAAAAATTGAATAGAGATATTTAAAAGCGCGCTATCACTTATAAAATACTATTGAGTAAAGATTTCATGAAATACAGTTGGAACTGAGTAAACTTAGCGTTGAGTAAAGTTAGCATTGAGTAGTGAATGAATTAAATAAAGTTTTTTTTTTTAAAGTTATTCAATTTTTTATGTTGAGTACAGTATGTCGCCGAGTTGAGTAATTTGGAGTAAAGATGTGTTACTGCCATTTAACCGTTTTAATACTAAAGTTTTAATAATTAATCTTATGTAATTAATTTTCTCAAAATCGAAATTAAACAACAAAAACTTCAAAAAAGCTATTCTGATCAGCCAACACTTGGCAAATTTATCGATAATTAGAAGTTGAAAAAAATTGATTAAGTAAATAATTTGAAAAAATTTTGAGGAACGTGTTTACTGAAGGAGAAAATAGACAAAAATTTTCATCATTCAAATTCTAATGTATTAGTTATACGTTTAGATCAATTTATTGCTTTATAAAATCTAAAATTTTTTATATCTCCAAATAATTTAAACATGAAATTATATGACGATCTACCGTCAACGACCATATCATGTTAAGCCAGCGTGGTTAGTACTTGGATGGGCAAACGCTTGAGAACACCACGTGTTTTTGGCACCACGTGTATTTTTAATTTGAAGTTTGTCAAAAATTATATAAAAATCTGTTAAAAATATTCAATAAGAAATTAACATTAAAATATTATAAATATTTAATCGTCAATATCTCTTGAAGTTAAATGAAAAAAGCATCTTTTTGAAAATTTTCCGAACCATTGTTCCTTAAAAAATAAAAAAAAATAAATCAATTGATTCTAACCGGCTTACAGTATTCGACCCAAACATAATAAATAAACATAATTTGATTTTAAGATCGATTAGCGCAGTATAACATCAAATTTATTTGGAGAAATCATTTTGTTAATGAAATTTAATTTTTTTGATCTATCGCAAAATCTATTAGACCAATTATATGTACTACAAAATATATTTCTGGACCTAGACCAATTATTTTAATCGGTTCCCAAAAAAAATGTCACAAAATTTTTCTTAATTTGAACTTATTTAATAACCACCAAATAGAGAATTAAAAATTTTGAAGATTAAACTGAAAAAATGAATTTTTTACGTTGTATTAAAACGATTTTTGCTGTGTTTTGAACATGATATCATAAAATAATAAATAACATAGCATGAGTAAAAGACATACTTTCTCTTAACAACTTAGTGAAGTTAATATTTGTATATAAATATATGAGTTATAACAATAAATTCACTATTTGATAAAATCGAATCTTGCCAACGCCCATAAGAAGGGGAAGTTGAGTATCGATCCGCGACGCCGCCATTGTTTCCACTTGACTACTTTCTTTTTCTTCTTTTTGTTTTCTTCTTTTTCTTTATTCTTACAATTAACTTTTGTTATTAAATCTCTCCATTTATTGAAATAATTAATTATCTCTTATAACAATTAATGATATACTTCAAATTTCTGAAGTTTAAAAAAAAATAGTACAATAATTATTTCATTATCAAATATCATCCTTATAAGGTGCCGCACTCTTAGTTTTAATAAGCAAAAAAAAGTACTAGGTAGTCAGCAATAAATAAATAAAATATAAACTGGTATGATAACAGTAGGTGGAATAAGAAAAAAGTTTTACAGTGTAGTGTAAGTGAGACAGACGAAGTAGATCAGGGCTCGTAACAGCGTGGTAGCTAGAACCTTATTGCCTGCCCGCTACTTCATTTTTCTCCTTAAAACTATTCTCACACAGAAGTACTTTAAACACAATATTTTACACACCTACACTTTTTTATATTACTTACTTCTATTGTTTTATGAGCTTGAAATTCATTTGAATATTCTAGTATTCATTTTAAGCGGATAATTTTTTATGAATTATGTTAAAAATTAAGATTTAAATGTTATTATTTAAATTATTTATAGGTGAAACTTCATCAAAAGATATATTTCATAATCCATAACTTGATACAAAAAAAAATATTTCTACAACATATAAAAACCAGTCAATTCTAATAAAATATTGGATTTTATAATATATAATTCTGCAAAGGTTGATAATCTTAATTTTAAAAAATATACTTTATGTAGCGTAAAAAGTCGAGTTGGAAACTTAAAATATGACTAGAATTTTTGAAGTTATTAATAAAAATAATTTTTTTTAATTTTTCTCCATCGATATCTTTTAGACGAATTATCTGAATTTGCCACACGCTTTGTAGCAATTAACGTTGCATGATAAGTAGAAAATCTTTAAAATTGATCAATGCAGTAGATGAAAAAAAGTTAAATTGCCATTTTAAATAATTTTTAAAATTTGGAAATTTAATGTCATGAAAGTTTTAGAAATGTTTCAGATTAATAGGCCTAATTATTAGGCCAAACTTCTGGTGTAATAGAACCACACAATTGTGATATCAATGTCAGTTGTTTTTGTTCAGTGGCACCTTGGAAAATTGGAGATCTGATCCACATTTCAGCCAATATGCACCCTGCGCCCCACAAGTCAATGGAAGGTCCATAATTTCTATCTCCTAGGAGTAACTCTGGTGGCCTGTACCAAAGAGTTACTACACGATTGGTAAATCGATTAGCTTGACCAGATTTACGTGCACTGAACGCTCTCGCTAACCCAAAGTCAGCTAATCCGGAGGCACAATAGTACCTCAAGCCAAGTACACGTTCAACATTTTGAGAATACCATTTTTAGTCACAAGAATATTCGCTGGTTTTATATCTCTGTGTAAAATATGATTACTGTGAATGAAATATAAGCCACTGAATAATTGCTGCATTACTTTCTTAATTTCGCCCAAATTAAATTTGACATTAGCATTGGAGAGTAACCCAGCGAGATCGTGTTCACAGAACTCGAAAACTAGATAAAATGATAAATAATAGCGATTGTTTTGAGTAGCTGGAGTTTGACAAATTTCAATTAGATTAACCACATTTTCATGCTTGAGCAATTTGAGTATTTTTATTTCTCTTAATGTAGTGATGGGAAACCCTTCTTCTCCGTTATCCGATAGGATTTTTTTCATGGCAACAAATCTTTTAATATTCGATCTATCTCTAGCCTTATACACCTCTCTTCAGTATTTTTTGCAAATTCCCTAAAATTTTCAGAGTGGTAAACTTTTTCTTTCTATTTTTTTTTTCAGAGTGGTATAACGAAAAACTTATTATTTTTATTTTTTTTTTTTTAAAGTACATTTAAAGACAAAAATTTCAAAAAAAAACATCCCAAAAAGTCAATTTTCAAAAAAGTTATGGTTATTTAACAAAAAAAAAGCTGTTTTTTTGTCATAACTTGTAACTTTTTTGTGGTTGGGTAAAAAAATTTGAAAAAATTCTGAAAATTGTTTTCAATAGGGTAGAGAAAGATACCAAAATTTCAGAAAAATCGAAAAGGGTCGGTGTCAAAAGTGGTCGATTTGGCATGGAATGCCCCATATTCTCTTTGTGATGTACTCCCTAATTTTTTTGCTAATTTGAAAGTAATTAAATGTTAAAAGGTCAATAATATAAATAACACACTCGAGAAACTACAATTTTCTATAGATTTTAATTATTTTTATACATGAAATTAATAAATAAATGAATAAATAAATAGTATATAAATCGTATAACTATTATTATTAAAAAACACGTGTTGATAATTTTTTTGGTAAGTATAATTTGTAAAACTGTTTATGTAAAATTGTAGATGTCGAGTGAGTAATATGGCTATTATTATAATTTGTAGCTAAATTTGATTGTATGATTTCATTATAAATATAATGATTAACTGTATTTGTGTTTTATAGTCATGTTGATTTTTGTATATTATAACTTCAACTTTATTTACATGCATTACTTACTTTTAATAAACCTATTTTCAAGTCTATATCAACTTATTTATTAACGAATTCAAGTGGTCTTGACTATTACTGAAGTAAGCATTACTCAAGTAAGTAAGTTTGCAGTAAGACATTAAAAGTTGTCTATATATTAATTGTAAGTACAGTTGAAAGTAAAGCAGGTATAAACTATACGCTTTGCCTTATACCTGCGCTCAAAATTACAAGTCTTGAGCCTTTACATACATTACTTACTTGCGATAGGACTAATTGCAAAGTCTCTAGTTCTTCCTTTACATGTCCTTTGTGAATTTAGTCTTAAGAGAGTATAATTATTTTTCGGTTTTGAGTTAAGTGGGGCATTGTGAAAATTGATTGGGTTACAGTCTATTACCCATGTGTATAAATACTTCATCAATTCATCGAAGAAAATCATTCTGCATTTTGCTCTTACTGAAAACACTTGCATTCTGTGACATCAAGCTACTCAACATCTCCACATCAATCATGGCACTGTTACAAGAAATCAGAGCTCAATACCAAAAGACCATCGACGACTACTTCTACGAAGCCATCGCAACTCGTAACTACACCAAAGTTAACGAGCTCGTATGGGGTAAGAATCCTCATATTCCGGCGATGGCAGTCAACGTGCAGAGGTTCTTGTACTTGGCACTTTCCGTGGAGAAGTTCCCCGCTGCTCAGGACATTGTTGATTTCTTCGTCGGCGAAAGACTCCATGGAACAGTCGATTATGAGGATGAAGACAACGCTGGCTGGGGTCCACTACATCTGGTAGTCGATGACAACAACTACGACGGAGCTACCTTTCTTCTAGAAAACGGAGCTGACCCGGATGTGGAGGCTGAGGACGGTATTCAGCCGATAAATATATCTGTGGATAACAAGAATATCCAGATGACTAAGTTGCTGATGAGCTATGGTGCTGATAGTTGTGGCAACAGAGAAGCTTTTAAAAGGGCAGTTGAAGAAGGAAAATTCTTTAGGCTTAGATATCAGTGGGATGGAGATATAGAAGTATAAGTAACATAAGCAATATTCCTCGTTATTGTCCGTATGCATTATCTGCTAAACCAATAACCAAACGGTTCTTTTCAGAACCACCAAATTTTTTAAAACGTAAAAAAATATCAAGTTTCCAAACTCATACCTTATATAATTTCCACTACTTTATTTTACTTCAAATCACATTGACTGTTATAACAATATTTTTTTTTTTGTTGTGGCAACAGGGAAGCTGTTGAGAACGTCCAAATGACAAAGTTGCTGATAAGCTATGTGCTGATAGTTGTGGCAACAGGGAGGCTTTTAAAAGGGCAGTTGAACAAGGAAAATTCTTTAGGCTTAGATATCAGTGGGATGGAGAAATAGAAGTCTAGAAAATATCTGCATAGATTGTCTTCAAAATTAACCAAACAGTTCTTTTCAGAACCACCACAATTTTCAATTCGTAAGAAAAAACATCAAGTTTTCCAACACATAACTTTTCCAATTCCGATTACTTTTTTTTACTTTAATAATTTTTCTATAACATTCAATATTAATTTAAAAATCAGAATAAATTATAGTGTCATCTAGACACTTGAAGGAATATAGCCCCGCAAAAAAAAATTTTAGCTTGATTTTTGTTTAAGTTATTTAACCCCTGACAAGCACACATCTAAACCGTACACCTCTTTAGGCATTGAGGGCGAGAAGTACCCAACATATTTCATTTTCAAATATCTTGGTCCCTAATAAAGTTAGAGAATTTTTTTTTTCAAATGAAAGCTCAAAAAATTCTCTATAAAATGGATATAATATTAAATTAATTAATGCCAATTAAAATAGATAAAAATACTATCAAAGTTTAAATATACACAAAGAATTATAACGAAATAAAATTTTGGGGTGGGTACTTTTTACCCAGTGTGGTTGTCAGGGGTTAACTGTTAATTAACTAATTTTTCGTAAATTTAAGTTTTCATAAAATCTCTTATAAAAGTTTAAAAAATGTGCTTATAAATTTTTTTCCTTTTGGGAGCTCTTGTTATATAAAAAATGAAAAAGATTCTGTCGTAAAAGTTTATAAAAGCATTTTCATTTGTTTATAATGATTTTTCAAAATTATCAAAAATTGAAATATCCGGCTAATATAAAAAAAATTATTTTTCCTAAATTTTTAATTTTGTTTGTTTTTGTAATTAATATATTGCGTTAAGTAGATTGGCTAAAAAATTTTTAACGTTAATTGTTAAAAAATTATTTATAAACAAATGGACAAGTTGAATATTTTTGAAAAATTTTTTTTTGTCATTTTATTGTCTTAGTGAAATAATGATTATAGCAGCCACGTCAAAATCGAAGTTATCTTTCGAAAAAATCATATTCTTAGTTCGAAAAAAAAAATAAAGAAATTTTTTTAAGCATTTTAAAAAATTTTCATTAGGCGTTTAAATGTAGGCTGTTGATACAGTCCCTCCTCACATATAGCACTTCAATTACTTTGATTGATGCGCTCTGAATTATTAATGACTATTAATACAAATAGTATTATTTCCGAATTCCAGTTATTTGGAAAAACATACGTCTACGGGGAATTTTCAAAATCTTTAACCCAACCTATAAAAAAGTTACAAATTAAAAAAAAATGGCTTTTTTTTCAATAAGCAATAGCGTTGTCAAAAATTTCGACTTATCATGGCGTTTTATTTGTTTTTTTTTAAATTTATTGTTTTAAAATAGACTTTTCGAAAAAAAAAAAACTAAATGATTAAATCATTATGATTTTAAAATATTAAAATATATGACATTTTCTAATTTTTTGAGAATCTATTTTTTTACGTGTAATTTATTTCACCAACTTGTTAACATTAATTTCAAATTAGCAAAAAAAAGTTTACGGTAAAACATACAAAACCGTTACAGGCGAGATCACTGCTAGTTATTTATAAATGATAGAAGATGCATCTGGAGCATATATTAAAAGAAACAAATCGTTGAAACCAATGGATGCACTTGAGTCTTCATCGTTTACCCTGATGAGTGGTCTCTTATGGATGATAGCACTCGACATATCGGACTGCGTTTAAAAGCATTAACAATCTTGCCGACACAAGACACAAGTAGTTGAGCAACAGGAGAGACCACTGTCTGTCTGATACTTATATCCGGTAATTACGTATAAAAAAATTTTAACACCTGGCAGAATTATTTTTCAAAATAAATTTTTACTCCATGAGTCTCAATAAAGGAAACAATCTTTAAAAACTAATTTCAAAAAAATTTTAAAATATCAATCAATTTTTTTAATAGGAAAAAAAATTTTTTAAATTAGAAAAAAATTAAGTGATGATAAAAATATGAACTAAAATTGTTTATTTTTAAATTTTATCAGTTTACCAAAAAACAGAATATGTATTTTCAAAAAGACAAAATATGTCGATACACAGAAAAAAAGAATTATTTGAACTGAATAAGATTTATTTGAGCCAAAGATATCGTATACTTGGATATGGCCAAATAAATATTTATTTGTGAGAAATATACGATATATTTGAGCTATTTAATTGCGTCAAATAAGTGATTTATTTGTTGTCAAGATATGATTTATTTGTGGTAAATAAATGATAGTTGACGCAAATAATGCATATTTTAAAATATTAAAAATTAATTATACATATTTTTAGGTTATTATAGCACTACTATAGAATAAAAAATTTATAATTTATTTTATTAGAACAGAAATACAATTAAAAATTCAAATCACCTTTAGATATAATATGGTTACCTTCAGCTGTAACATGCACTTTTATTGGACGAAGACAATTTTTAATATTGAAAATTAAAATTTTTTCAGTTGTATTTTTATCAGGTAATATTACTATGTATCCTTTTAAATGATCATTTAAACCATCAGTTAAACAATTAATTAACAATTGTTCCATCGCTTCGATCACTATTATGAATTATTTAAAATTGAAAATTGAAAATTCATACAATAATACGCACTGTTATAAAAAAAAAAACAACAAACGTTTTTAAGGAACATGGCGGTCACTTGAGAGTCAGTTCGGGTGACGTCCGAAGAATATACGCGCGCAGTAGTTGAGAATTCAACATTTGACTGGTACCCTCAAAGATGATTAAGGTACGTTGTTTACCATAAATTTAGCATCTTTACCACAAATAAATGAAATATTTCTGACTAATAATAAAATAATTCGAGTCAACTGTTATATTTACTTGTACCAAATATATACCCACACTGAAAAAATATATATGCGCATATATGCTGGCAAAAATACATATACGTCGCACATATAAAATATATACGCCACATACTTTTTTTTTGCCCCCGTATATGCGGCATATATTTTTTTTCAGTACGGG